AGTGAACTGAACACACGCAGGAAGCTAGCAAAGCTAATTTGGTTCACTGCTCTAGATGTGTCTGATGATCATCCAGTGCACTCTTGACCCTGGACTATTTTTACAGTATGCGTGCACCTATATCTAGGACAGCTTAATGTAAGAAATGCTACTAACCATGCAAAGTACAAGAATGAAAGTGCATGAGTTAGGCAGCTAGGAGACAGACAACAGGCAGCTCCTATAGACAACACAACATGGCAAGAGCTATGGATCTGTGTTTCACAGATTAAAAAAATCATTGCACAACAGTGGGTTGCAGACCATATCCTCATACAAGGACTACTCTGCATCACAGTTATAACCATGCCCAAAGTAGCATTTCATGCTCTCAAAGTATCTACTGACTTTTGCCTAATTGATAATGTACTACTCCTATCTTTATTCCCCTCTCTTCTCTTGAGCATAAAAGCCTTACATGAGTGAACAGTAACTCTGGGCAAGCATCAGAGTAGAGGCTGTATGAAAGAATATTACTTCCATATCAGTACCAGCTATTCAGCATCCCCAGCTAACAAAAATCAATCCATAAACCTTTAAGTAATCTTAAACATAAAACTGAGGACTTGAAAAGATCCTCAGATTGAAGCAATGGCAACTGTACTGGGCAAATGTCTGTGTGGTGAAGTTACTGCCAAGTAAGAAAGATGCTGTGGAACTCTAGGCAGAGTAGATATTGTGCAGGAAGGGAACAAAAAAGGCCCCGGTTTYCCCACTGTTAATATTCTTTGGATATCGAGTGCCATAAATCATGTTGGATTAGCTGGCATGGTAGATACTCTTAATTGTTTGACTGTAAATTGAAAATCCTGAAAAACTGATGAACCAATGTCTCCGCAATATGAAAGTTTCAGCAATACAACATGCTGCACCAAGGAATTACAGCTTGCCTTTTTTCCACCTGCAATGGAATAAGGTCAGTAGTAGCAATACATTTGCTGGAGAAAACAGCACCTATAAGTACCCTAAAACATCCCGTGCCTCACGGTCGCGACATGCTTGTCACCGGAAAGAAAACCTGGTCGGCACACAAGCCAATTCCGCGATTCCCACCTAGGGCCGCATCTCCTGAAAGGCTTCTCCGAAGAGCATCCTCCCAGCACATCCCCGGCTAGCACACGGGAGCCCACGCCACGCTGTTGTGCCACGGCGCTAAACGCGGCAAAGCAGCGCCCAGGGACCCGGCCACAAGCGCTATCAAGCGCTTTCCCGGCTGGAGAAAGCGAACAAACACCCTGCACACCCTCCCGAGCCGCGCTGCTCGAAACCCCGCCGAGACCCGCGGCAGCCCCGGCGCGGCCTCCCGCTCCTCCCCCCCGCACGCCGGCCGCGGGCACGGCCCCGGCGCGGCCCCGCACCCGTGAACGAGTCCGGGTAGATGGACTCCAGCGCCTCCAGCTCGTTGCGCTGCTCCTCGCTGTAGTCGGTCATCGTGGCCCGCCGCCCAGGGCCATGGGCCGCCCGCACCGCGACGCCGCCGCCCGCGCCTGCGTTGTCCCGGCCTGGTGCCGGCGCTTCCTAGCATGCCTCGCGCTCGCGATAGGCGGGGAGGCCGCGCCTGGGCCGGGCTGGGCTGAGGCGGCTGAGGGAGGCGGTGCCGCTGCCATCGCGGGAGGCGGGCACAGACAGCCGGCCTGGCTCGGCCCCKGTCKCTTTCACCRGTGYGGTGCCCGCTGCTCRGTTAATTCCGGCRCTCGCTGCMTGGGGCTCGGCTCRGTGTGCRGGAGGGATCCGGCCGCCATCGCCCRCGCCGCTTSTCCGCCCCTCCCGGGAGCGGCAGCCTCAAGKCGGCAGTCCCTGTTACACAGACTCGTGATGGTGCGGTTCACTCTCCGACATTCTTCCCTTGAAAACTTCAACTGAAGAGGAGTAAAACACCAATGCTCTAGGTTTTGCGTAAGAGTACCGTGAAAGCAGCTGAATGTCATTTCTTCCAGACGCTGGAAGTTTATTTGATGCAGCCGGTGCTTCTTGCAGCTTSAAGTTAAACGATATCTGCAAACTTSCCSGGCGACCCGCACCTTGAYTTCAGAAGTTCCATCRCATCAGCATCACCATTATCTAWGTGCAGARCAGCAGTTGTCAAGGCTAACGATATTGGGAGCTGGGGTTACCTGCAAGGATGAATTTAAGACTGCCGAGGATTATCAAACAGCAGATCCTGATGGGTGCTCCGTACACAGAGTAATTTTAAGGTGCATGAAGTTCCTGSCCATATGTCTAGCACTTCTCCTGCAGATACATTTTATAAGCCCATGGTTTCCAGAGAACTTTTACMACGGACATAAAGAGAATAATTTCCACTTCAAGTGAGCAAACTGGAATTCTAAGTTGATGTTTGAATGAGATGACTCAGGTTTTAGCAGACACAGTTTGACTGTTCAACTGTACCAACTCACAGATTACCTATAATCATGAATTGATTTGTAAGCTGTGCCTTCACTACCAGTCCATGGCATGTTTCAAGGACCAGAGGAGTAAAGGGAAATCCACCAAATCTTTTAAAATACTACAGCTGTAGTGCTATGGATTAATACATGCTAATAGGCTGATAGTGTGTTAGTCTATTGGCAGGCTAACTTCACAATGACAGATGATACAGTTAGTATTTCCACTCAGTATTTTAAATTATATACTACAAAGAAAAATACGGGGCAAATAGTAATCAGGACAAAATCAGCTTAATTAAAAAATTCGGTGGGCAAGAAATCAAAAGAATGTTACAGCTCACTCTTAACTGGAAATATTGCATCATTTTATAGTAGCACTGTAAAACAATAGGAGAAATTGAAAGAATTCAAGTAGACTAAGATCTAGATATTAGCATAGGGTTTTTTATCAAAACTTTCAGATACACAAATCAGTTGCATGTGTTCTAATTACACTGTTCCATCTTAAATAAAAAAACACAAATATTAAAAAAATTAAATTAGAAATTGTGTTTGCTACCAGAGGTACTTTGTTTCCTAAGGAGTTCACATAAACAGTGCAGTTCCATTACTTTTTTTTGAGTTTGCATGGCCACATTTTGGTAGCAGGGGATCTACACGGGTGGCCTCTGTGAGAAGCTGCTACAAGCTTCCCCCATGTCCCACAGAGCCARTGCCAGCCAGCTCCAAGACAGACCCACCAGTATCCAAGGCTGAGCATCATCAGCAATTATGGTAGCACCTCTGGGATAGCAGCTTTAAGAAGGGAAGAAAAGATCCTGAGCAATAGAAACTGCCACCAGAGAGAAGAGTGAGAACATGGGAGAGTAACAGTGCTGCAGACACCAAGTTTGGTGAAGGAGGGGAAGGAGGTGCTACAGTCTCTGGAGGAGAGATTCCCCTTCAGTAGGGCAGACCATGCTGATGCAGCTCTCCCCCTGCAGCCCAYGGAGGTCCCTGGTGAAACAGATCCACCTGGAACCCACAGAAGAGCCCACACCAGAGCAGGTAGGTGYCTGTAGGAGGCTGTGACTCCACAGGAGGCCTATGCTGGAACAGATTCTTGGCAAGACCTGTGGAGAGAGGACCCCACACTGGAACAGGTTTGCTGGCAGRACCTGTGACCCTGCAGGGGACCTACCCTGGAACAGGTGGTTCCTGAAGGGCTGCAGCCTSTGGAAGGGACCCACACTGGAGCAGTGGTGTAGGAACTGTCTCCTGGGGGGAGCTGCTGTGCTGGAGCAGAGTGTGGAGCCCTCCCCTTGAGGAGGAAGGTGCAGTAGAGAGTATGGGTGATGAACTGACTSCAGCCCCCATYCAYTCWCACGCCCTGCACCACACGTGAGGAGAGGTAGGAAATTTGTGAGTGGAGTTGAGCCCAAGAAGAAGGAAGGTAGTGGGGAAAGGTACTTTAAGGTTTGGGTTTAGCTCTCATTATCCTACTCTGATTTCATTGGTAATAAAATAAACCTATTTCTCTGRGTGGAGTTTGTTTTGCCCATGACAGTAATTGCTGAGTGATCTCTCTCTGCCCCTATCTCAACCTTTCCTGTGCCTTTTCTTATATTCTCTCTCCCCAATCCAGGGGAGGCGGGGAGTGACAGAGCAGTTCTGGCTCCTGCATTTTCTAATAAAATGTACTAAATAATTAGATTTTTCTACTTCAATCCCTTGGGGTCATTTATTAGTAGCAGATAKCATCCTATAGYGTAACATGTAGCTTTGGAGCCCACRTGTATATGTGTACRTGGCAAGGCAATACAGGAAGCATTTAAAAAWTCATGATGTGCACTTCCCTCCCCCTTAGAGTTAGAAACAGCTGCACAGGGAGTTAGAGAGGAGATGAGTAGAATCACATCATACCAAAATGCATTAAACACAAAACCGTCATTAAGTCTTCTTTCACAAAATTCAGTTTTTAATCACAGTGATATTCACACGGCCAGTATATGTAAAAATTACTAGTTTTTGAGAGGCAAAACAAACCCTACTGCACAGAGGAAGATTTTYCCCATCCTGGTTTGCTCTTTGTACAGTAGGCAAGCACACAAACAYCTTAGAGATTTTGAAGTATTTCCARAAGGGAGACTGACCTTGCTATGGCTTTCAGCCAGAATGTATTTCACCTCAGTTTGCCATATGTCAAGTGTTCATTCATACAGCTGCTGTGTGTTACACACCTCCATCCTGTGCCACAGTAGGGATTTTATCTCCTTAATAGAATTGAAAGTTGTCATCATTGTACCTAAACTCAGCCATTGATGGCAAATTTCCCCCTTTATTTCCTATCTGCAGCTGTATCTCCAGCCTTAACTAGTAGTTAGCTCAGTGTACTTATAAAATACAAGAAAAAAGTAGAAGAGGAGAAATAAGTAATTTCTGCTTGGTGTCACTAAGGAAAAATTGAATAGCTCCCCTTGCTCTATCCATAATGGACCAATAAATAGAATCCAATCAAGGTCTACTGATTAAAGATCCTTTTAAAGGAAAGAAAAAAAAATTAAAAAGAATTTTCAAATAACTTTCCCAGTACATATACTTCTAGCACAACTATTAGAAAGCAGAGAGATAAAGCTTGAGACAGCCCACCCTAATCTAGACATAGWTCACCACATCCCAAGTGTCAAAATGCCATCAGTGAGGGCATCTGTAAGCATGTGCTAAAGGACTACATTAACAAGATGCRCTTTTTCACATACTTTATATACCAATGTAATACTGTAATGGAAAGTTCCAGAGCAGCTCAGGTCTGATACAGAGCTAGACAAGTTTCTGCTTTTCTGCAGGGTATTGTGGGGGCTTGGATCTTCAGAGCTGTGTTATGATTCCAGAGTCTTCWTCAATCCTCAGATATTTTCCATTTGCACACTCCTTGAGTGCCCAGTCATGGAGGAGGCTGTAATCATAGTGCTCCTCATCCACTCGTTTTAGAAAGGCCAGTCCAGAGATGGCTTGCCACTCTCTGAGAGATGGGATACGAATTTCCTTTACATTTTCACTTCCTGGGACAAAGCCAAAGAACTTCCTTACATGCTGCCTGGCATAGAGCCTGGAGTGCTGCTCTGTTGCTTCATCGAAGAGCTCCTGCTCATTGTGGACATAGCTGCTCCAGTATCTGAAATGTAGAAAGCTGAGTGGGGAGAAGCAGCTTGCCAGGCAGTAAGAAAGGAAGACAGTGATGACTACCACAGCAATCAGAAGCCAGCCAGCCACCTTACAGAAAGAAAAAAAAAAAAAAAAGAAGAAACTGTTACAGCTGAAAATACTCACAGTGGTGACTTCAGAGCACCAGAAAACATGTAATCTTTCCTTGCTTTTTCCTGAATAATAGCATTAACAAGGTATAGGCCTGGAAAGGGTCTGTTGCCACCAAACCAGGTCCATTTCTGCTGGAGGAAGCTGTGTAGTAAAATCACTTGTTCCTGTCAAGTTTAAGAAAGTTCTGTTGTACAGTTTTAAGAATATTTCTTTCACAGCTATTATTGTTAGATAAGCCATCTAAGTCCTAGATTATATTAGTCTAGGGCCTGTTTAAAAACAATTTTCTCTGAAGTGAAAACTTAGTGCTTCCCCTGCTATTTACCTAGTATCCAAACCTTTAGAATTGAATCTTATCTAAAACCCAAGATTCTACATCAGTTCACACACAACTTTCACAGAACAGGAGTCTTACTTTCATGTTTCTTCTGCTTTAATGAAGGAATTTCATAYCCTGTCTGGCTCTTGAACTTCCGTTTGTCTCACTTGATCGTAAGGATGTCTTTTCAGGATACTACGTGAGGAAGAATATATCCTCTGCTAGTAGGTAACAAATGGGACAAGCAGAGGTAGTACTTTAKATACCTAAAGTTCAGTTCCACCTAAATAAAAACTAGGCCTCAAAGCACACAGAGATTTAGCACTCGAGACAGAGGACACTGATCTTGTTTTATCCTCACACTTTGCCTGCTGAATTAACTCCACCTCTTATGGTTAGGTTCACAGACAGCAGAGGCAACACAAGTTACTCACCTGTGACTGGTATCGGAGCAGGAGAATCACTTCATCCCTTGCCCGGCTCAGCTCTGGAGGAACCAACTGACTGCAGGGAAATGTAGCCAATATCCTACTGCGTTCACTAGCGGTGACATTGGGATCAGCTCCATAATAGTACACAGGGACATACTCACTCATGGCACAGACATAATATGAGCCATTGATCAGGGTGACTGCAAGCCACGTTACTGGAGCAACCAGTGCCCTCCCAGTGATGCTGCACAGGACAAAGCAGACCAGTTTGCATTTCAGCAACTGGTTTGATGARGTCACCTTCTCAAAATGAGACTTCTTGCCTGTAACCAGCCTCCAAGTCTGGTTGTTCAGAGCATAACCAACAATCAGAAGGATCAGTGCAGGCACTCCCAGGAAAGCCAGCCCATAGATAAGGTTCTGTCCAACATGACAGGGACAGCTGAATGTGAAAAAAGAGAAAAGTTGCTGACCACCAATTGTCAGTATTGCAATTATCGCATTAGCAATAAYAACCTCTTTGCCTTTCAGAAAAGCTAACCACTTTGGAAGGAAAGTCATTTTAGATCCTATTCTTTTGTTTTAAATCAACACTAGCTTTTAGCTATATTTAACTAGTGTTAATGKCAGAGCAGAATAAACTCCAACAGCTTGAAAAGAATGCCAGCAAACACAACACCAAAACTCCCCCTTGCTAGTCTTTCTCCTCCCRCTAATTTTCAGTGGCTTGTTTGGTAGCTTTAAGTATGCTTGCAGACATCCACTGATGTATTTTAATTGATTCAGTAATTTATCTCAGCTGTCCTGGAAAATTGAGCTTTTAGGGGGTTGTGATCTCTGCCAGCCCCTTTCTAATTGTCTGAAATTAACAATAAATTCCCTGTACCTGTTGGATAATATGCAGTGCTATCAAATGGCTAACCTGTCAGGTTTAATTGGCAAGCCGTTTGCTAATCAACAGTAATTGGCAGAAACAGGGCATGAGACTAGAAAAGAAAAAGAAATGGAGCCTTCCAGCTATTCTTTATAAAAGATCATCCAAACAAATCCTTGGTAAATTGAGTGATGAAAAAAGAAATATTCTAAATGCTTCCACTTTAAAATAAACTCATAAAATATTCTATAAGTTGCACAATGTTTGGAATCCAAATGTTTTTTGCATTTAATATCAGTTCTGGGGCAATTCATTCTCCAAAACTGGAGATTGAGATGTCGTTGCCTGCTGGATCATGAGGACTTTAGTATTTCACCTGTAGGGGGCAAGCAGCTGGCRTGTCTCTTTTCCCGACAGTGCTGAACATTTCCTTTAGACAGTTGGGTGTGTTTTTTGGTTTTGGGGTTTGTTTGTTTGTTTGTTTAATAATATATATATTATCTGCTATTCACAAAAGGCCAAGCCAGCTGGCATTTATACAACATGCTTGATATTACAAGTGTTAAAATTTTCTGCAAGTATAGTCAGYCCCATTCCATGGATAGAGACAGAAATTTTTCATTTAAGTATTTCTGAAGCTGGCTTCTGGATTTTGGTATGTATGACCTGGGCTCTGAGCATCTCTCACAAATCAAGCCTTAAACAAGGGCYTGAAAATTGAAAGCATTTCACTCTTGAAGATTTTCTCAGGATTGCACTTCTACTATGGTCATGCTATCCAGTAGTTCTATGAATTGCATAGCGTATGCTGATGAATATGCAAATAGTTGTGTTTAAGTRCTGAGAAGTCTGACTGTCTGTCATATAAACATTCTGACCAGGAACAGAAAAAAAAGTTAGCCAGAAAGTTTATGGAGAAAATGATCTTCCCATTATAGATGTCTAACTCCAGCATGTGTGGACTTGGCCGTGTGGTGTAATAGTGTCTGTCTGCATAATGTCTTCTCTCCCCATGTGGAGAGGGTTGCTAATAATAAGTTTCATCTCAAACAGTGGTTTTAGTGCCCATGGCGTCTGCTTGGCTGGCAGAGACACTTTCTCAGCTGTTGTACACAGGGATGGCATGTTATACATGTCTTGCTGTTCACTAGGCAGGACCATGTCCCTAAAGTGCACTGTAGGGTGGACAYCTTCTTATCCCATCCCTAGTCACCATCTGAGAAAGAGGTTCTTGCTAGTAACTGCCTTTCAAACAAAATTAAAAGCAGTAGAGAAACGTGGTGAAACATCCAACAGCACTTTGTCATGGTTTTTCTGGAACTTGTTACGTTCTTAGTTGTTTGGATAGAATAATAGCACAATGAAATCCCAGTGTTGTCTGAATGTTACCATTTTAAACCTTCATTTGCTTTCAGTATCACAGGATTTTTAGTAACTTTGTTCTTGTATTGGTGACATTGTATTTTGAAAAAAAAATCAGTGACATAAACTTATCAGGCTATTACAAAATTATAAGARTCTTCCATTATGCCTCAGTTAATTTAAAAATCTGATTAATTCCTTCTGAGATTTCTTTGGGGACCTGTGTCTTGTTTTGTTTATAAGGGAGGAACGCTTTCCCAAGCATCACTTGTTTACTTAAGAAGCACATTAGATGTGGAACTGAAGTGGTGTCCAACACTGAAATATTAATAGTCAGCCTAAGGCTGTTGAATGAGGCAATTTACACAATCAATACAACAGCTCTGTACTTCTGCATTTTCACTTCTTTGGCATTTGCTTTCATGCTCTGCCGTAAATGATCCTGCTGGGTCATCCTATTATGGACGAAATTGCAGGGTTGGATCCAATTAAGAGCTTGGGCGGCACATCAAACCTTTAAGTACTTGCTTTTGCAGAGGAAAGCAGCGTCCTGAGGTAGACATTTAGGCTCTTTATCCAATTCCCAAGAAGAGTTAGGACTGGATGCAATCCAAAATACCACTACCTGAGGTGACAGCTGGCTGGTCTCTGGGGCAAAAAGATGCTTATAGCTGACATCTGAGGCAAAACAACATGAACAAACCTTAGTCATGGTTTTGTTTTTCTTATTGCAGGGCTCTGTCAGCTTGAACTCATTACCAGTAACTTCACTTATGAGAAAAAGAGAATTTTTTTTTTAAAGGAGTGAGAATGGTTTGTCATTTCTTTTAAAACATGGTTATTGCAAGACAYATTCCACCCTCCCATACAGAGCAAACAGTTCTTATTCTCCTGTTTGCTTTTTATTGAAATAATGCAACCATGGCAGGAGGGAGAGATTAGTTTCAGGTCCCATTTCCACCTGATCGAGTAAAAACGCACTGATCTCTTTCTTCCAAAAGCTGTTATTATTAGTGATATGATGTGAATGTGGTGCAAAGAAGCTGTGTTCTCCAGCTTTCCTGCCATAGCTGCACTTAGTTTCCATACAGAGAGGATTTTGGTATTTATTGGATAAAAAAAGACCAGGATTTTTTTATCTAATGGCCAGGGAAAGGCAGGAAGAAAGAGGGWAGTGATCTGTTTTCCATCTGAAATTTGGAGGAGATTGAATCCTGATCTCTCTGGTCCTGCTCACATGTTTTCATCACTTAGTTAGCAGTCAAAAGGCCGGTGTTCTGTGACTCCTCTAGCTGCACTTTGAGTTCTAATTTGYRTGGATGTCAAGCCTGCCCTGTGCAYGTTAGAGAGCATGGTATGAGAGTACCTGCATGACAGATTTTCTGTGGGAGCAGAGGGGAGGAGCACTGCCCRTGTCCTGTGATCTGCCAGCTCACCAGTTGGATTCAAGTTGCCAAGTTATTTTCATGGTCACTTTGGTCTGGTTAAGGAGAAGTTCCTCTCCCTGCAACCAGGACAAGCACTGATGAAAAAAATAGTACGCTTTATGTTAAGGGAAGAATAGAAACCTGTAAATGATTTTTTTAAAAGCTCACATATTTTGCTTCAGAATTTAGCTGTGCTTTATAGCAAAAATTATGAGATTTTAGGTACCTCCAGAGAGCAGCAGCAGAAAGAAGGCATTTGGATCTCAAAGCAACCTCTTGAAAATAATTGCTGAGAAACATTACCTAACCAAGGAAGTTTCAGCAGCTCAAACTGAAAATACTTCCCAGGCAGGGCACCACCACAAAGTGRCAGCTATAGCATTGTTTTGTTTGGAAACATGGCCAAAGCAGCAGCCACACTGAACTTGTAATAAAACCACTCATGTGTTATGAGAAACCCGTGGTTTTTTTCACATAGCTTCAAAATCCCTTCTTCACCTACCTTATTGTGCTTTGAAAGAATTCTATTTTCTGTGAAAATTTAATAGCAGATCTATCCATGTGGAAAATGGAGAGCAAACAAAAAACTGACCCTGTATTTTACTCATTTGGTCACCCACCTTTTGTGGTTAATGCATTCTTGTGTTGACTCAAAGAAATTTTGTTTAGCGTTGTTTTTTTTAAGAATTTTCTACTTAGGCAATATCTAATTTATTATTGACTTCAATGTTGCACTCTGCTCTGGKATATTCATATTTGTGAGACTCCTTGGGCTACCAATCAAATCACGTACTTACCTCTGCAGCTTTCCCAAAACAGCCGGTCCATTGCAAGAGACAGAGTGCTGGTGCTTTTGAAACTCAGGATATATTTTGTGTTTTGTGTTTTTTTTGGGTTTTTTTTGTCTTCAGTTTGATGGGAATGAGGAGAACTAGTGTAGTCTAATGCTCAAGCAGTGTGCCAGACCAACCTTCTTGGAGCTGAAGGTAAAATTCTCTCCTGACAAAAAAGGAGGTGGAGTGTGATGCTAACTTTTCCACTACTTCAATTACCTTGGATTACTTCTAAGAAGTATATGTTCAGGTTTAAATCAGGTGCCAGATATGTGCCCAACTCTGCTCTTTTCACAGGGCTGCAAGACAGTCCACCAATGACTTGCTACCCTCACTGGAGCCATTGAATCCCCAATTTATTTGGACACACCATTTCAGCTTTGTTTTCTCAACCACGTGTAAATCTTTCAAGATGTAGTGCATTCTACTCAATACACAGCAATGTGTATGAATTTACTTGTGTACATGTGTGCACGTAAGTATTTTTCAAAGAATGGTGATGTGCCCTTGCCATGCATTGCACTGTCTGGTGCACAGGGTTCTTTCATGATTATGGTATCAATAATGCAGGCTGAAGTAATTCATCCACATATTCTGAACCGGATAAATAAAATTGTGCTCATTTATGGGTAGTCTTAAGTGCTCTGTGATGGGTTCACTGAAGTTAGATTATSCTAATGATAATCTTTCACAAGTTTTTTTTTTTTCTTTAAATGTAGTGTAGTACACTTGTTTATGGCATATGGGGTTACTCTTGCAATGTGARGCATATTTTGTGCTTCTTGCCAGTTGGAGACGATCAGAGAAACAAATCCATCTCAGACTCAATTTAGACATGCAAGTAACTATCTAAAGACTTGTAATGCCTGGCTTTTAAAATTCGTTTAAATTTAGATATGGAAAGTATCTACAATAGGTTCACTTATAAAATGGAATAAGATTTTACAGRGCCAGAAGAGCACCTGCAAAAAAARCCCCAAACAGTAAGAGRCTATTAYRTTGTAAAATTGYCAATACCAGKTCATTCTGAGTAAAATAAAAGCTGTTAGGATGACTAAGTTTTACACAGAAAGAGCTGAAAATCTTTTAATCTAATTTTTTTCTTGTTATATTGTGTCATACCTTTAAACTATAATTTTTAAAAGTAAACTTATCCCARATGAATCACATCTGAATGCTTTCTRTGTATCTGTAGTGGTAAATATCTATAATTTTACTCTGGCACTGAATCTGTTAGTTAATAGAAGTTTAATATCAACATGACATTCAGAGAAGGCCATATATTTTTGCTTCCGTTTCCAAAAGGACTCAGTGAGTATGTATGTGCAGGTAAATCCTATAAGGAATGACAGCTACCTGATTGATTTCTAAATTCACCAGTGATCATGGCTGAAATTTCTTGCAAATCTAAGCTAACCACTAGTAGGCCAAATTTACCACAGGGGAAAATAGACAAACTAAGCCTTGATGTTCATAGCAAGTTCATTTAGAAATAGGGGCTATAACAGGTTAAGAATGATAGCATACCCCCTAGGAACATTGTTAATGGAAACAGAAGCTGGCAGCAGTAGCAGGTACACAGTTTGTTCCTCTGGGAAGCTGAGTTCTCTCAATATGCCCTGACAGCTTTACACCAACAGGGTGGTAGCAATGCCTTAAAAGCCATTCTGTCCCTTTGGCAGACATTAACTCATCAGACTACAGCAGTCAGAGCTGGCAGAAGACCGTAGCTTCTTTAGATTGAAACCAATCAATTTTTAATTCCCTTGTACAGCAGTTTCTTGCMATTGTGTTTTTTTTCTTCAGAGAGGAAGTTTTCGTTAGCTCTCCCAACGCCAAAGTCTGATACAAACAACAGGATGAATTTGCTGTCCCTAAAAATGTAAGACCTGTGAATCTGGGGGCTGTCCTGAATCACTTCCCATGTTTGTTAGCTGTGTATTTGATTACAAACAATTCCTCTGGGCAGAGTGGCTATTTGTGTTGTGGACAGTGGCAGATCCGTTGCCAGTCAAATTCCTCCCAAAGGTCTCARTACACGCAGAGAAGAGGAGGAGCATCAGCAGCATTACAGCCTGCAGCAAACACATCTCATGCAAAAGATAGATAGAAGAGCAGAGAGGACAAAACTTTAGAGAAAAGAAAGAGGAAATACAGTGATTGAGAGAAAACGATGCTGCCAGAGGAAGAAAAGATATAAACTGATAATCAAGGACATCAGGAGTTACACAACCAACATGTCTCGGTCACCAGGAAGGAAGCAGGATAACCACAAAATAGTAAGAAGTATTTGTAATGTGTTATTAAAATTGTGCATGGAGTAAGAATAAGCTATTATTGTATTGATGCATTTTATACACTCCTATTTCTGAGCAATCTGGAAGTACTGAAAGGATAGGAATAAGATGGGTGGTATAAGAGCAGAGCTGCTGGCAGTGTTTATAGCCACTATTTCATTAGYGTGAGCTAAATTTTTAGTTTTCTTTTTACATTTTTGGAGAAAGGAGCTAATGATTTGAGTCAGATCAACCCTACCTTTGTGAGCTGTTGTTCCAGCTGCAAAAGGATTACTAGCTCATTGCCTCTCTTACTCTTCCTGCAGCTTTTTGTCATTATCCTTGGGTGGCACTTGACAGCATCTGTCAGTCCAGCATATATACATTCATAAAATGCAAGAATGCACCTGATGATAGTAATTCTGAGTATACCAAGAAATGGTACTTSTGACAAAATCACTTACAAACTCAAGTGAGGATTAATACAGATTCTGTCACACTTGAAATGTGGATTTCAGTGATTATGCAGCCATGGATAAATTTTTCTTTATTAAMATAAATGTTATTTTTGCTTGCTTTTAATACAGCAGCAGCTCAAAAACATGGAAAAGTTTGATTCTAGCTCAATTCATTTTTTATTTTAATATTTTTTGACAGAGCAGAGAACTTTTTGTACTCACATATGGGGCTTTGKTAGCCCAGCTGTGCAAGGACTATGAAAAAGACGAAGATGTCAATGCCTATTTAGATAGAATGTAAGTACTGCTTTAAATGTTCAGCTTTATCCATAATGCTATTTGTCTATGTATGTATTAATTTTCAGCTTTTTTTTTTGCTTTTTTTTTTTTTTTTTTTTTTTTTTTTTTTTTTTTTTTTTTTTTTTTTGTGGTTTTACAAGCTCCAGTATTCTGTCCATGGTCACAGAGAAGAGAGGAAAATGTTCAATATTCTGTCAACAAAAATAGCACTAATTTGTGAATTAAGATAAACAATTTGCTTTTTAATTCTCTGAGAAAAAGTGTCAGGATTGTTTTCTTATGCTTATATCTTGTTAACCAGCTCAAAAGTTTTTTCTTGCTGATAAGTTCCATTATGTAATTACTCTTATGGTAGTAATGCCTAGGAATCTGAATCAGGATGACAGGATCCTGTGAATATAGGATTTTCATTTTCCAAAGAGGTTATCTAAAAATCTACCCTTGTTGAATCTATCCTTTTTGTGCCATCTCACTCATTACTGTATGGTCTTTTAAAGGTGGAAGGCCCATTTGCCCCTAACCCTGTGAAGGATCTAGGATATGAAATTTAGAACTTTTGAGCTGGTTAACAAGAAGATATASTGAGATCTTTAACAGAACAGTAAAACTTACATTTTCAGACAAAATGGATTTACAACAATCACAGTGGACAGAATACCCTGACCATTTGACTATTAACGTGAAAGTTTGCAAACTAGCTATAGCCTAATAACTATCCATGAGAGTAAATAAAAAAAGTCATTGCTTGGAAAAAAAGAAAAGAAATTTATTCACAAACTTAGAAGGGACGGCATCCTTCAGATACTTTTTTATAGTTATCTTTCATTCAACTCTGGTGAAAATCATGGCACAAGATTTTAAGGATGCCATGGTGGAAATTACTAGAGAGCACTTGTGGAAGATGTGGAGACAAATTTTGCTCCTAATGTTTTCATTAGTGCAGTTGTTTCTATAGAATCTTTTTGTTTTGAGGAAGAGATGATAATGTAATGACAGGTTTCATTAAAACAATGTGTTCTTTACTTCTGTGGTTGTGAAAACAGCACAGCTTCAGAAAGAAACTTCACAGCTCAGTAGAGCAGTGACAGGTGGGGACAGTGTACTTATCTCTTTCTGTGTACATATATTGTCTGTGGTGAGAAGGGTGTTTTTCACTGTGCAGTTGCCAAGTAGCTTTATACCAGTCTGTTATTAATTTAACTTTGCAAATCTAAGGCACAAAAGTAGAAAAGTATCTAAGTAGTACATTGCTAATACCTATCCTGGTAGATCCTGATTACACATTTGTCAATGTTATTGATATTGATACTTAAGCAGTAGATAGATATTTCATTGTTTCTAGACATATCACATACTGCAATTTTAATCTTCATGCTGCCAAAACCACTTTTTGGTCTTGTCATCACACTAGACATCAGATCATCATTTGGCTTCTTGCCAAGGATGAGGCGCACTGAGAAACTCCATTGGGTTCAGGCTGCTGCACTGAGGGTGTAGGGCCTCTGACAAACCCACACAGAATGCCAATATCAACATAATTGGAAATGAAAAATTCAAAATTCCCTAAAAACATTTCTGAGCTGAGTGCCCATTCTTGTATAGCATTTGTGTTGATCTCTTGACATTTTTCAGACAATATTTGGAGGTAAAGCTGTTTCACACACTAAGAAGTTATTGACCTTTGTTAATGTGCCAGAGCCGGGAATGAATATTTGTTTTATAAAAATTCCATTATTTTCCATCCCTTTTAATTTATTTTTTTMAATTGTAGTATTTTAAATACAAAATGGAGGTGGCAGTGTATTGAAACTCTGTGTTAACTAACAACTTTTGGATTTTTTTTCTGTGACTAGATAGATGAAGGGAGAGAACATGTTAGGAAAAAAAAAGACAAAGAGGGAATTGCAAAAGAATGAAAAATAAGGTTAAGAGGTAACAGGAGAAAGTGAGACGTAGGTGTGAGTCTATTTCCTATGGGTTCCCCTGGCATCTTAATGCTGCAGTGACGGTGCCCAGGATTTGGTATCTATATGTATAAACAATGTACAGACAAACTGTGTAGACAATTCATATCATCCTTGCCAGGAGTATCATGCTTAATGACGGATGATTCCTTAAATGACTTCATGAACACCAATCCCACCATGTCTCAAAATGTGGTAGAAGGAAGAATGCAGACCAGCAAAATCTGCTGTCATTAAAGTCACTCAGTTAGGAACATGCAGCTGTTTTGCTGAGGAAGCACAAGAGACACATTAGAGAGATGGTAGGTAGAAAGATGCTCCCCATTTTGAATGTTAACTTTCCTTGTTTCCTCCTTAGGGGGTACAGCATTGGCATAAGGCTGATTGATGACTTTTTGGCTCGTTCAGCTGTGAAAAAGTGCCGCAGTTACTCTGAAACTGCAGACATGATTGCACAGGTAAATAAGATTTGCATTTTCTAGAGTGTCATCAGATTCAGTGGTCTTAACATTMCCCTCCTCTCTCAATTTGTTCCAGAACAGTTACCTACATTTTCTGCTATATCATGATTGTCATATCAAAAAACACTCCTCAATCTGTGCTTCCAATGGTTGAAATTACAACACATAACTCAAAGTGGAGTGCCTCCTGCAAGAGGCTGCCAGCCCCTGACCTAAACTAACCCTRAAGTCAGTTGCTACACTGAAATTCAAATTTTTCTATTTCGAGCAGACACTAAAATACCTAAAAAGATGTTTTTCATTTTGTTTGTTGCAGTTTAAGATGATTTCTTCTACTCTTGCTAGAGAATGCAACATGCAAAAAGAAATCATTCAGTTTTAACAAACTTCAAGTCATATATTCCTTTTTTTTCTTCCTAGGAGCATAAGTCTTAACTGTCTCACAGAGATCTTAAACTTTGATATTCTTTATTCTGCCATTTGACTCTTCTCATCCTCTCCATAATTATCTTAGCTGTCTTTTGATTTAAAAATAGTAATATTAAGAATAAGCTGCAGGATTTTCTGGGAAAAAAAAACAAAAAAAACCAAAAAAAAACAAAACCCAAAAACTCAGTGGTAGTGAAGAAAAACTGCAAGAAAGGAAAATGAGAGGAATATTTTCCTGACTGCCCACAAATCTAATATTAAAATCAAACAGATAAAATCAGAGAATGTACTTTCACCAACTTTGATGGAAATTTCCCTTTTATCTATTAGTTGTTCACACTTCTGTCAGATGAGAAAAACACAGGTTTCTAAAGATGTACTTTCACCCCCCATGGGCAAATTAGAATTACTGGGAATTTCAAAGAGAAATTTGAATAAGAATGATATATAACAAAGTTCCTCCTGGTAAGCAGCTTAACTGGGATAGAGGATCTATTGGAAACAGTGAGGACAGCTGAATGAACTCATGATACAAGGAGCATTTCAGTCACTGTTTTAAAATACACTGCCTCATTAAAAAATTATTCCAGGCTGCAAAAATCACATTTTTGTTCACTTTTATATGGTTCTTCAGGTGCCATTGGTACTTTATTTTCACATCTAAGTAGATATCTGATTTTCTGCATCTTATTCCTCATTGTTCCCTTCTTTACAAGTGCACTATTACAGTTGAACCATCATTTTTAGGTACAGGGTATTCAACAGCAAAGTACAGTGAGAAATTRACAATGAAAAAAGACACTATTTCTCTGCAGGCTGTGCTTCAAAAGAGATTTATTAAGAGAAGTAAAAAATTACTTGGAAAAGATTGGAACAATCTTTAAAACACAGACTGTCCCTTTGAAAGACTATTTTTAGCAAACTAAAAGAGGAGTTCTGTAGTAGGAGTACAACATTTCTGAGGCAAAATGAGATATGGACAACATTTTCACATTTCTTTGGAAAAACAATTCTTAAATAATCTTCRAACACATTTTTCTGAGGCACATACCAACAAAACACGTGTGAAGTGATCCAGTGAGTAACTGCAAGTATGTTGTTAAAGTTTTTAGTTCAGAATCACGAAGGTGTTTACATGTTCTCCTTAACTCTACAGCAGGAGTGTTCCCAGCCAGGAGAAAGTGCTTAAATACTCAACAGCACTAAGTCTTCAGAGGTATAAATCTGTTTAACAATGAGAAAAACCGGTTCAAAGTTAAAGTAATTAAGACAGTCAAGCAATTCAAGAAGTTAGAGCCAAATCTCCTGTTATCCTGCAGTCCTTWGGAAAACAAAGAAGTCTGTAAAATCAGGCTGTGGGTGTTCCCTGTGGAAATGGAAAGAGATGAAGCAAAAGAAAACAAAAAAAAAACCCAAAAACATAAAATGAGGACTACAAAGCCAATTTCCCAGATTAAGAAATAAATACTGGAGGAAAGGTGCACTGAAGGCRGTGACTGGGGGCTTAAAACTTCCACCATTGCTTCAGACTGCTAAGCTTTAAAACTTCTGCCTTATAGTGGGCTGGAGAAGGGCCAACAAGYTTTGGTGAGGAGCCAAAGTGAGCCCTTCTACACTGAGTTCCCATGGTGTTCACCGACTTCTCATGTTGGTCCTGTGACTTGGCATGCTTACAATTGGGTTTGAATTAAAAAAGAGACGAAACTGGACATGTAAGGGTAGGCTATCTGGCGAATTGGGATAAAAAATGGAAACCAACTGAGGAATGGTATTAAGAACAAAGCCTAGCTGAGGAAGCAATGTCCAAGATGGGATTCAGAATTTGGATCTGAGTATAACAGGATTACTTTTGAAATGAGGGTAATAATTTTGCTCTATAATCTGGCAAAATCAATTTTTTTATTCAATTCCTGATAGTAGGATCTTGGTATAATTGATCAGGCCAAATGAGTTGCAAAAAATAAACAGCTTCTGTTTTTAGGTCTAATCTTTGTACTACTTTCTCTAGCACCAGGAGGTGTTTGTGTGTGCCAGAGGTGGAAGCAGCCAGATCACACCCTCTGGTCCAGAGCAAGCTGGTGCTGGCTCCCAGGCTCCACCTCTGGATTAAACAGAGCCTAAGGATAGATCTGTTCCTGAAAAGCAGTGGCTGCAGAGATGAGCTTAATTGTGAATACTCAGTACCCCGTGAATGCAGGAAATRGACACCTCTGGAGCTTTTTCAAGGGAGCTCCCCGGGAGTAACAAGGGATGGGGTAATCCAACCATGTCACCCCCCAGCCCAGAGCTGTAGGACAAGAGAGGTGATTCCCCTTGTCGTGAAATGTGGGCCACACAAGGCCCCTGACATGTGGCCAGTTTGAAGGWCTGACAGAAGCTGGCAGGATTTATGACGCTGGTATGTTTTTCAGATCTTAGCAGGGAGAGGGAAATGCAAACTGCAGGTTGCTGTSCTAAGTGGTAGACAGTAAACTGAAAAATGAAGTGCTGCTGTGAAGATAAAGAAAAGTTCATAAGAGAAGTTTGGAATCGGCAACARATGGCAAGACCTTTAAAGCATCTTCCTCTTTCCAAACACTGACTGGAAAAAATACTAAGAATGAAAAGTATGCTAGCAGAAATATTATTTTGGCTGCCTTTCCCCTTTTAAGCAGATTAATTCTGGTCCTTCATTAATCTTGCTSTTATGCTGTCTGAAATCATGGGTTTAATTTTTTTAACAGTCTGTGCTTACTTTCTTGGCATCAGGACATTCATGAAATCTTTCRTAGTGAAAAGTCCCCAGTAGTATGTAGAGGGACTGATTAGTTAGTGGCTTCCTGAATATTTCAATAATTCTACCCTGTGTTTGAGCACCATCAAAATGTTGATGAATTTTGTTTTTGCTGCTTGAGAGAGATGGAATGCTGGTTGAGACTTTGAAAAAAGGCAATGATACATTTTTAATTCTGACTGCATAGATCTCATTTTCTCATTAAGCAACATAATGTCATAGAGTTGCAAGTAATGTTTTCAAAAGAGAGATTTTGCTTTATATGGACATACTTTTGATGGCAGGCAACCCTATATATGTGTCTAAACACATAATCTTTTTTCTTCCATTTAATAGATAAAAATGAGACAGATTTATGGATGCAACTTTTAAACCACCTCCTTAATTTTCCTTTCCAGTCTTTTGGAGTCACAAAGACTGAAAAGATCTTTGTTTTATCCTCTGAGAARCTGTAAGTAGTTTTAAAGTAGTTGCTGTCCAGTTATACCATGGTTTTAAAAAAAATCATTTACATTCATTAAATTGCTTATCTATGTACTTAAATTATTGTTCCTGCCAAGATATTTTCACATTTTTTACTTTATAGCTTTGCAATTTGGACTTAATTGGTGTTCTATTGCAAAACCAACTACTTCCTTTGCATAGTTTCCATGCAAGTTCTCTTTTACACAGGAAATTTTAAAACAATGGAATTTGGACAGATTMATCATATCATGATGCAAAGTACAGCTGAAACTAAATTGAAAGCATATGAGGGCKTAGCATGGTTAAAAAGTCTTTATTCTTATTWAACAAAGACTTCAAGTTTGATGGARCRGCWGATGTGTAGTGGAAGAAGAGTTAAGAGAATTTTAACGAGTAAACTGAGGGACAGAGCACAAAGAATTAAACAGAAGTTTCCTGTTTACTTGTGTACTCATATTTCGATGAGTATCGAAAAAAAACCATTAATGCAAAATCTAAATTTTCCAGCAGAAAATGTTGATCTTGCTGTTTGGTTTTATTTGGTTTTGGTGTTTTGGTTTGGTTTTTTGGTTTTTTTGTGGGGTTTTTTTTGAGGTTTTTTTTCCCTCTCTCCAGTTTGTTTTGGACAGTGTTGACAATAGTCTGTCTCCTTCTGATCTGCCATGGTAGCTGCTGAATTTAGGGACAATGTTGACAGAAATTARTTTTTGCAATAGCCCCTTGAAAGACAAAGTTAAATTTGCCAAACCCACATTCCAGCTGAAAAGATTGGATCAAACTGGCTTTTATTTTTGTCTGTTTTTATGGAAGCATTCCAACATCCACATGGAAATTGCATTAACTCACAGGCATTTTGGTGACATAAAAGAATCACACAGCCCTGGGAATGAGGACCAGTGGGCTCCTGTCAGGCACACATTGCAGCACAAGGTGTTCAGCAGCTGCTTTTGAGAGTGGAGACACACTCAGTGTGAGTTACCTGCAAACATGAACCAAGGAAGGAGGAGGAGAGGGGAATGCACCTTGGATTTGCCCCTCCACAAGAAAGCAGAAGACAGGGCTGGGAAGTGTTGTCACTTCAATGGCCCAGGCTYCTCAGGTGCAGAGCCCTGAGCTTCTGAGGGAAAGGAGGGTGCCCAAATCTCTGAGTATCCTCCCACCCTTCCCTCTCCCACCTATGCTTTTGCCTCTGTGTCCCAGATATTATATCACACTGGAGGCCTTATTTTTACATCAACCCACTTGTTTCTGAAATTTCTTTGATCAACTCATTGACCAACTTGTTGTCTTCCCCATTGCATCCCTACTTGCTTTGATTTTCTGAGGAAGGAGTGGAAAGACAGTTTTGGAAAGAGAAGTTTGGTCCAGATAACGGGGCAGTCCTATTAGGGGGGGTCTCCTCTCCTATCATGTGAAGGAAGGAGGTGAAATGGGGCTGGACAGAGGATGTTGGGGCAAAGGAAAGATAAAACCAGTCAAATGGGAAGGGTCATATACCCTGGAAGTAGGTAGATGCAATAGCAGGAGAGGATCCTGGGGAGAAAATGGTTGGTGTATGTGCCAGGCACAGTGTCAGACACATCTGCTGTGGTGACTTTCATTTTGGCAGCGTTGCATCTGTGCTTTCAGCTGCAGCACATGCATTGAAGTGTATAACATGTTGTAAGTGTGCTGCTAAGTGGATCATCTGGGATAAAAGAACTTAAAAACATTTTCTCAGAGCTCACAAGTTCTTGGAAACATATAGAGAAGATTCTAGGCAGAGAGTTGAATTAGCTTTTGGATTTTATTTCAAAAAGAGTAATGGTCTGTATATGCACATAGATGCTTTCACCTGCTGAAGAAGCAGAGAACAGCTGGGCAGAATACCCTGGTTTKTTGAGAAGAGCATGATTCAAGCCCAGCAAAAATATGATTCTTTGCAGAGTCGGAGAGACTGGCAATAAAATGCTGCACAAAAGCCTGCCCAGCCAGCCCAAGAGAAATAACCTTGTTCTCCTTTTATACAGCATTTAAGAATACTCTGAACACCCTGCGTGAGAGCCACGTGATGAATTCCAAATGGGTGAGGTAAAGCATGATGATCTGGGGTAAAATGCATTTGTCAGAGGCACTGACTATGCAGTTGCCTTGCCTGCTGGTTCTTCTTGCTCCAGATACTAAGTTTTCCTGAGATATTAAAAAAAAAAATGAAAATCAATCTTCTGCAAAAATATTTACTTAAAATGTGTAATTTCCTTCCAGGCTCTCTGTTGCACACTGGCTACAGGCCTAATACAAACAATATTACATAGCTCTACAGGCAGCACCCAGTGCATGAAACTTGCTCAAAACTAGGACTTTATTTCCATACAAAGAGAAATTCTGGAGTGGGAGAAGATAATAGGGAGATGCTCTACAGAGGGAAAATATCCAAAGACACAGAAGCCTTGAGGGGATCACTGGTGCCTCAAAACAAGRCTGTACCTGCAATTGGCCTGGAAATGACCTGGATAGAAAACCTTCACTTTCTGTGGGCTGTCAGAAAACCACACACATCTTCTGTTATTGACACCCTTTAAATGGCTTTACCTATTTATAGYCTCTTGATTTACATAGAATGAGTACACTGTAGCACATTTTACATAGAATATTGTTAAAACTTGGAGAAGTCATTATTCATCTCTTTTTGCTGTCAGCTGTTGATGCAGAACCAGTGACATGAACATTGGGTGCCACGGAGCACTGCAGCCCATTCACTCATGTTGGGAAATAATTTCATTCCATCCCTCTGGAGCAAGTATCTCACTGGAAAGGAACATAATGAAGAAGAAAGAGACCATTGTGAAAAAAAAATAGAGAAATCAGCTAGAAATATGCCATATTAACAACATACAAAWAGGCTGAAAATGTACTTAATCTATGGTATTTCCCTTCTGTCTGCAAAGTCCAGCATTGTCTCTCTTTGCTCACTGATTCCTTTCTGTCCTTCTTCAACTAGCCTGTGAATCGTGCTATAATGCTGTTTGCTGCTGTTGAAAGAGTAGAGCTGGGAAGCATCTTCCCATGCCTGAAAAGTAGGCAGGGAAATGGGTTCTGGCTCCTTGTTTTCAAAAAAGCACTTCAGGTTTCGCTCGCTCAGCTTGGTGGCATACAGCTGGAAAATCTCCTCCAGCTGCTCCTTCTCTGTCCTCTCGTATTCTCTCCAGAACATCAGCTGGAGGTGGCTGACTTTTGACTGGCAGCTGGCACAGCAAGTGGTTAGCAGGGAGAGAAGAGCTGCGATAACTATCACACACCAGCCTAAAATCTGGGAACACAAAAGAAATCAGCTTCAGGTTAAAAAGACCCAGGTGAAAATGCTACTTAAATCACAAATGTCTGACAGAGTGACCACACTTCGTTTGCATTGGGTGGCATTTTTGTTAATGGGACATCCATATGGGGACTGAAGGGAAGAAGTCCATCAGCACTGAGGCTTCTCAATAGCGCTCCATTTGGTGTCTCTTTGGTAAAGTGTTTTCTATCTCCTGAAAGCATTAAATAAATTACCCAACAAGAATTACTAGTTTTGAATCATGAGGAACTACAAAACCAAAAAGGGCAAGTAACATTTTTCCCAGATTAATCAACTGATAGATGTGTTGTTTTATGACTTCTTCTAATATTAGAAAACCTCCAACACAACAACTACATTAATTAACAGGAGTAGAGAAGATAGTCTTTAAATTAAAGTGTTCCCTAATACTTTTGCCAGGTGATTCACTGAAATCTGTGCTGTTCTTGTGAAACTTTTTTTACTTTGATGAATCAGTCCTTTGCTGTGGACAGCAATTTCTATGCCAAAATTGGCTTAAAAACTATTTATTTGTCCAACCCTGTGAGAATGCTAGGGGGGGAGGGCATGTGCATTAGTAGGTCTGTGGTAGCACTGGAATAGGACCCAATTCATCTACACACTGGTTACAAATAATTGGTGTATTTTCAGAGAATTTTATTTTTGCTGAAATATGCTTTTCCAGCATCATTCACTTTTTTTTTTTTTTCCCTGTAGCAGCTTCAGATTTTGACAAAATTATTTTAAGACCATTTTAAAAGAAATCCTGCTTCCAGGATTATTTCCTCAACAAGGAGAAAGGGTGAAAAAATATGCTTGAAATTGTTATTGTGGGATGTTCTCCTCTAAGGAGAGTGCCACTGACATAGCCAATAGTTTTACTCATCTACTC